CTATGCAGTTGTCCCAATGTGGATATGAGTTACTGACGCCTGAGGACAATGACATGACACCTCATCTAACAAATTAAATGTTTTCAAGCAATTAAAAGAAAGCAGCCAACCTTGCCGCCATAAACAGGAGGCCATTAGTATTCCAAGCACTGTAGCCTCCATTGTATTTTACTGTGCCATAAATATAAGCACAGCTTGAAGAGCCAGTAGGGTATATCCACAGAGAAACAAAGAATAAAATGTCTAGCATTATTTGTTATTAAAACATTTGAAAAGTCTTTTCTTGAACAAACATTTTTTTTTTTTTCAAATAAGTCTTAGTGTTCAGCGCACGGCTTTCAGTATCGCAGTAGGAGTTGAAATTTTGTATGAAATCATTTTTGGTAAAAAAAAAAAAAGGAAAAAAATCTGCATTAATTTTTGCTCTCCGACAGAAGTGTGTTGGAATTTGGAAGAGAAAATCAGAACAGCAATTACTGTAGTTTAGAAGCAACACTGCCAACACAATGAGGGCATGTCAGATAAATGCGCACTATGCAAATAGATGCCCGTGAGGAACAGGAACTGTGGGGAAGAAGGAAATGTGAGTTCACCACAGAGCATAGCATCAGCTACACGACCCGGGAAATTTCTTTACAAGCTGCATTTTCATTCAGAGCAAGTACTTTCAGGCAACATTCAAGAACAGACATAGGCTCAATGTCTGAGCATAAAGATACTCCTAGGAATTCACTAAATAATCACTATATCAAAGCTGCCCCACAGCGAACTGGCACCTGAATTGTCCATTAGATGAGATTGTTCACATTCTGAAAGGTTGATGGCACAAAAATGATCATTTATATGCTATACTCCGACTGGTCTTCCATAAAGCAGATTTATAGAAGCACAGTGGCTAAGTGGTTAGCACTACCGACTTTGGTTCGAATCCCAACCATGGCGCTACGTACCTGGAGTTTGCATGTGGGTTCCCCCCCCACACCCCAAAGACATGCTGGTAGGTCAATTGGTTCCTATCTAAAATGGCCATAGTATGAATGTGAGTTAGAGACCTTAAATTGTAAGCTCCTTGAGGGCAGGGGCTGATGTGAATGTACAGTACAATATATGTAAAGCGCTGCGTAAATTGACAGCACTATATAAGTACCTGTAATTAATAAATTTACATTTTCTTTTTGCATGTGTGTATACACCTATTACCCAAATATATATACCTAAAGCCTTGGTGCTCAATCTGCAGCGCTTTGGAACTTCTTGTGTGACCTTTGTGTGGTCTCTCTTTTTGAGACCAAATCCCTCTGCCACTAGCTGATCCTCAGATGTCCTTCATTTAAGACCAAATCCCTTTGTCCCTCATTGATACTCCAGAGTCACTCTTTTGAGAACAAATCCCCCTGTCTCTAGTTAATCCTCAGATCTCCTTCTTTTGAGAAAAAATTCCCTGACCCTTGATGATCCTCAGATGTCCCTTCTTTAAGGACAAATCCCTCTGACCATCATTGATCCTCAAATGTCCCTCTTTTGAGATTAAATCCCAGTGTTCTTCATTGATCCTCAAGTGTCACTCTTCGAAGAACAAATCCCTCTGTTCCTTGTTGATCTTTAGATGTACCTCTTTTGAGACCAAGTCCCCCTGTTCCTCCTTGATCCTCAGCTCTCTCAGTTTTGAGACCAAGTGCCCCTGTCTCTAGTTGATTTTCAGATGATCCTCTTTTGAGACCAAAATCCTCTATCCTTCATTGATCCTTAGATGTCCCTCTTTTGAGACCAAGAGCCTCTGTTCCTCATTGATCCTCAAATGTCCCTCTTTTAAGCCCAAATCCTTCTGTCCTTCATTGTTACTCAAATGTCCCTCTTTTGAGACCAAATCCCTCTCTCCATCATTGATCCTTAAGTGTCACTCTATCAAGAACAAATACATCTGTTCCTCGCTGATCCTCAGATGTCCCTCTTTTGAGGCCAAATCCTTTTGTGTCGCGTTGATCCTTAAATGTCCCTTTTTTGAGACAAATTGCTTCTGCTGATCCCCAGTAGTGCTCCTTTCTTGGTCTGATATGTACATCGCTACACAAAATGTACTCTTTAACTATCAAAAGTGTTATGCTGCACTCAGGGACGGACTGACAACTCATGGGGGCCCCGGGCAATAGGGGATCATGGGGCCCCTGTGTCCTTGTCCAAACTCAAAAAAGCCTATGAAAAAGGTACCGGGCATCTCCTGGGGCCCCCTACTGACCCCAGGCCCTTGGGCAGTGCCTGAGTTTCCAAATGGTCAGTCTGCCCCTGGCTGCACTAAACCTTTAATGCAACCTTTATATTACTACATTTGTGAATTTGGAGAGCCAGTAAAAGGCCTATTTCACAGGAGCAGCAGTTTCTACCACCCTCTGAAATGCAATCTGCATTGGATCTCTTTTCAGAAAGTGGCAGTGTAGTGGCTTCCAGGCACCTGAATGCATGCTTGTTTTGGGGGGCTGTTTTATTTTTTTAAAGCCAGGTTTTGCATAGATACAACATTTGCCTCGTGATTATGATACAGCTCTTTTGACTTCAATGGCTGAGTTTGACAGGCAATGCTATCTGTCAGTCTTGGCATTCCAAGTTAGATTTTCCTTCCAGTCGCATGGTACTCATAAGAAGGGTAGATAAACTGCGGCTCACCAGCCTGTTTTTACCACCTCTTGACTACCCACGTGAAAGAGTCCAAGAAAATGCAGAGGTAAAAAAGCACTTAAGTTGTTTAGCTAATCATTCACTGCATAATCGATTTTTGGTCCATGTAACTGGGGGTCTGGTAGGGGCGTGTCCTTTGCCTGTATATTGTGTGCTAAGAGATTTCCCTCTTTATCTTTTTAGAAAGTTGGGGTGTACGATCATCCATTCTATACTTTTTTGTGTATTTTGCTTCTTCAACCTTTTCTAAAAGTTCTTCCTATGAAGAATATTAGACTTGACCCCTGAATTGTTTAAGGGAGCTATATGAAGCACCCTCCTATATAGCTAGGGGGAGCTGGATTGTAGATTTTTGGATAGAGGTTGAGTAGCAGCCTGTGGAGATAGTCAGAGGGAGGTTAAATTCAGGTCACAGCTGAGAGGCTCTGCAGACATGCCCCCTGGGACTTCCACCTGCTCTAGAGTTTTGGAAAAGATTCTAGAAGCAGTGGGAGAGAGTGAGGAGTGACTGGTCTGCACTCTTGAGGGATCCTGACCAATCCCCAAAGGGAGGCTTTCCATGGGGTCAGGACAGCCCTTAAGAGTGACAGAGCCTGCTCAGCTGCAGGAGAGTTCGGGTGGATGATGGAGAAGTGATAGGCTAGAGAGCAGGAGCCTGGGAGGGAGCCCATATGGAAAGGGGCTCACATACAGGCAGAGAAGCTTGAAAGGAGGAAAGCTCAGGACTTCACCAGCCCCTAGAGCAGTGGTTCTCAACCTGTGGGTCGCGACCCCTTTGGGGGTCGAACAACCCTTGCACAGGGGTCGCCTAAGACCATCGGAAAACACATATTTCCGATGTGTAAAGAGCAGCTACTGTGTAGAAAGCAGCTACTGTGTTGAAAGCAGCTACTGTGTTGAAAGCAGCAGTATTGGAGGTAAAATGACACTTTATGAATTATAATTAATGGGTAAATCATTTTATGGTTGGGGGGGTCACCACAACATGAGGAACTGTATTAAAGGGTCGCGCAATTAGGAAGGTTGAGAACCACTGCCCTAGAGCAAGGACTAGCTATGCAGCAGGGAAGTAGCAGTCCAGCAGAAGACCTGAGAGCAGCCACTGACCCATCCGCTCATAGGACAGAGTGAGTAGACTTGCACCCCCTGGGCCAGTAAGGGGAAGAAGCACTCTGGTGGGAAACTAGATTAAATGGATTGCCAATGGCTCCCACTGCTATCAATCTGCCTAGGGAGGAGGAATACAGCCTTGAGGGGGGGGGGGGGGGCCTTGGGGGATTTTGCAGCACAGAAGATTTTCCACCTTAATGTACAGAATACATGAAGGTAAAAAAACATAAGGCTTTAGAACCACTTTCAAGGAGAAGCATAGCCAAAGACATTTTAGCTATACTTCTGGGATTACAGGAGTGCAGTTCGTGACCCTATGCCATCACTCAGCCAGTCCAGGCGTGGAATGTATCCTGACTTTATTGTCAGGATCCAGCCAGAAACCTGGACCGGCAGCTGCATCAGTCTCTCAGGGAGCAATTCAGTCCAAATTGTTATACCTGCCCTTGCTAACCTAGAAAGGTTTTATTTTAACGTACTTTTTAGCTTTACTCAGTTTGTAAAAGGCAAAATAAATGATTGTTTGAGAGTCTAATTCTCCTAACTGAATGTAATTAGAAGCTTCTATATACACAACATTCATATTTTGTATAGAAAGCATTGCCTTGAATAGTTACTGCTTGCTTTAATGAAGTTCTTTATTTTAATAATACAATGGAATGCAAAGCCTTATCACGTTTATTTTCTTAACCTATTATTGCAAATACCTTGAAGAAAGTCCCACATAAAGTAGTTTTAAGCAGTTTTATTGCAACCAGTAAAGGAACTAAATAAAAAATCTCTATATTTAGGCTGGATCTTTGGTAGAAGACGGAGGGTCCACTCCAAAAAAAAGTTATTAACATAACATACCAGACATATGCTTTTTTTTAAGGAGGGGGGCTAATGCAGTATTATATTTAAATAAATACATTTTTACTTCATTGGTTTTAACTAAGAAGAAAGAAAGAAAAAATAGAAAAAGAGACATTCTTTTAGTAACTACTACAAACTTACATGCACTGATGCGTATAACAGACACGAAAATAAACTGAACTCCAGCCTGGTGCCTATTACATACACTATATTGCCAAAAGTATTGGGTTGCCTGCCTTCACACGCACATGAACTATAATGGCATCCCAGTCTTAGTCCGTAGGGTTCAATATTGAGTTGGCCCCGCCCTTTGCAGCTATATCAGCTTCAACTCTTCTGGGAAGGCTGTCCACAGGGTTTAGGAGGGTGTCTATGGGAAGGTTTGAGTCCAGGGGCGGACTGACCATTTGGAAACTCAGCACTGCCCGAGGACCTGGGGTCAGTAGGGGGCCCCATGAGATGCCCCTAGTACCTTTTTCATAGGCTTTTTTGAGTTTGGGCAAGGACACAGGGGCCCCATGATCCCCTGTTGCCCGGGGGCACCATGAGTTGTCAGTCCGCCCCTGGGTTTGACCATTCTTCCAGAAGCACATTTGTGAGGTCAGGCACTGATGTCGGGGGAGGAGGCCTGGCTTGCAGTCTCCACTCTAATTCATCCCAAAGGTGTTCTATGGGGTTGAGGTCAGGACTCTGTGCAGGACAGTCAAGTTCCTCCACCCCAAACTCGTTCATCCATGTCTTTATGGACCTTGCTTTGTGCACTGGTGTGCAGTCATGTTGGAACAGGAAGGGGTCATCCCCAAACTGGTCCCACAAATTTGGAAGCATGAAATTGTCCAAAATGTCTTGGTATGCTGATGCCTTAAGAGTTCCCTTCATTTGAATTAAGGGGCCAAGCCCAACCCCTGAAAAAAAAACATAATCCTCCCTCTACCTAACTTTACACCGTTCATACAAACTACTGCGGGTGTGTATTTTAAGTTAACAACACCCCAAAATCAGTTCGCAAAATGCGTTGTGATATGCAGAATCGGATCACATGGGAGTGAACACCCATGCAATCTGATGCTGGTGCGGACTAAAAAAAGGGTCCTGCACTTTTTTGGTGCAGATGGGGTGCTCAGGTTGCACTGCACAGAATCAACAAGTGATTTGCACAGGAATGTAGTGCTGTTCCTGTGTGAATCACATGCGGTATGCCATACCGCAGCAGTGTGAACCCGGGCTTAATGGCGTAGTATACCAGTTAGTTGTTTATAAGAGGTTTCCTGTAAATGCATACTTATAGAGCTTGTGCGCTAGAATACAAATATTATCCCATTGATCATCCAACAATGTAGTGTGTAATGTTCCTGTTCCCACTCTGTCCTAACATAACCAAATTACCTAACCTATATTCGGAGGATAATAGACATCTGTATGTTAAAGTGATATTAAGTTTAACTTTCCCGCCGCCCTATAGCAGAAATACTGCTACAGGGCAGCAGGGCTGCGTATAATCTCATACATATATATATATATACTGTATATATACACATGATTTTGCATTTCTGGGTAGCGGGCGCCATCATTGGTGGCCTCAGCTGTCGATCACAGTCGGTGATTCCCCGCCGGCACCCGGCAATTGCTGAGTATCACTGATGGGAGAGAGACCTGTGTGTAAACAATACAGTTCTCTCCCCTGTCTGCTCCTGCACACTGCATAGCAGAGCCATACAAAGCAGTGTGCTTACAGTGGAAAGCACACACACAGCACACATAGTAAAACAGCACACAGTTAACCCTTTGATCACCCCTAATGGTAACCCCTACCTGCCCAGTGCCATTAGTACAGTGTCAGTGCTTTTTATTAGCACTGACCACTGTATTGGTGTCACTGGGGATGTCAGTGACACCAAGTCAGTTCCCCCCAGTGTCAGAATGCCTGCCACAGTCCCGCTATAAGTCGCTGATTACTAGCATTAAAGAAAAAACAAATCCCGTTATCTATATCGCCATTTTTAGACGCTATAACTTTCCCGTAAACCAATTACTTTACACATATTGGGATTTTTTAGCAAAGACATGGAGCAGAATACATTTTGGCCTAAACTTATGAAGAAATTTGATTTTTTTAATTTTTTTACTGGACATGTTTAATAGCAAAAAGTCAAAAATATTGTTTTATTTTCAGAACTGGCGGTCTTTTTTCTTTATAGCGCAAAAACCAGGCGATCAAATACCAGCAAAAGACAGCTCAATTTGTGGTAAAAAAAGAACATAAAATTAATTTGGGTGCAGCGTTGCATGACCACGCAATTGTCAGTTAAAATAATGCAGCGCCGTCTCGCAAAAGATGGCCTGGTCAGGAAGGGGGGGGGGGGGAATCCTCTGGAGGACAAGTAGTTAAAAAAAAAAATAAAATAAAAAACAAGTCATACTTATCTCCTCTGTGCAGTAGTTTGGCACAGAGCTGCCCTGATCCGCTTATCTCCCATCAGCACTTCAGGCCCCTTCCTCCTGCTTGGTGCCCCCAGAGCAAGCAGCTTGCTATGGAGGCACCCAAGCAGACTCCCTCCCGAGCAGCTACTCTGCATATCTATTCACACACTGAGCGCGGTGTGACCCTACCCACTCTCTCTCCTCATTGGCTCACCGGATGTGATTGGTGTACTTTCCGGCCAATCCGAGCCTGCTTCTCTGGGTCACCTTATGTCTTACTTTTTGTTGGAGTCAACCTTTAGATTGTATACAACCAGAGCTCTTTGAACTTTAGTTATAATTTGTTTCTGTGCAATTGCCTATTGTATATTACGTGAATATTACCAAATTTGGACTTTCTACAATATATTTTTTTCTTTTTTTTTTTTTAATAAAGTTTTCTTGAAAATAACCAATAGTATTTTCAAGAAAACTTTATTAAAAAAAAAAAAAAAACATTGTCAGAAAATCTAGCATTTGACACTTTATTGTAAATGTGTGTGTGTGTGTGTGTGTGTGTGTGTTTTTTTTTAATAAAGTTTTCTTGAAAATACCAATAATATTTTCAAAACAACTTTATTTAAAAAAAAAAAAGAAAACCATTGTCATAAAAATCTAGCATTTGACACTTTATTGTAAATGTGTGTGTGTGTGTTTTTTTTTTAATAACGTTTTCTTGAAAATAACCAATAATATTTTCAAGAAAACTTTATTTAAAAAAAAAAAAAAAGAAAACCATTGTCAGAAAATCTAGCATTTGACACTTTATTGTAAAAGTGTGTGTGTGTGTGTGTTTTTTTTTTTTTTTATAACGTTTTCTTGAAAATACCAATAATATTTTCAAGAAAACTTTATTATTAAAAAAAAAAAAAAAAAAACATTGTCAGAAAATCTAGCATTTGACACTTTATTGTAAATGTGTGTGTGTGTGTTTTTTTTTTTTTAATAAAGTTTTCTTGAAAATACCAATAATATTTTCAAAAAAATTTAAAAAAAAAAAAGAAAACCATTGTCATAAAATCTAGCATTTGACACTTTATTGTAAATGTGTGTGTGTGTGTGTGTTTTTTTTAAATAAAGTTTTCTTGAAAATACCAATAATATTTTCAAAACAACTTTATTTAAAAAAAAAAAAAGAAAACCATTGTCATAAAATCTAGCATTTGACACTTTATTGTAAATGTGTGTGTGTGTGTTTTTTTTTAATAACGTTTTCTTGAAAATAACCAATAATATTTTCAAGAAAACTTTATTTAAAAAAAAAAAAAAGAAAACCATTGTCAGAAAATCTAGCATTTGACACTTTATTGTAAAAGTGTGTGTGTGTGTGTTTTTTTTAAATAACGTTTTCTTTGAAAATAACCAATAATATTTTCAAGACAAACTTTAAAAAAAAAGAAAGCCATTGTCAGAAAATCTAGCATTTGACACTTTATTGTAAATGTGTGGTTGTGTGTGTGTTTTTAAAAACGTTTTCTTGAAAATAAAAATAATATTTTCAAGAAAACTTTATTTAAAAAAAAAAAAGAAAACCATTGTCAGAAAACTAGCATTTGACACTTTATTGTAAATGTGTGTGTGTTTTTAATAAAGTTTTTTTGAAAATAACCAATAATATTTTCAAGAAAACTTTATTTAAAAAAAAAGAAAACCATTGAAAACCATTGTCAGAAAATTTAGCATTTGACACTTTATTGTAAAAGTGTGTGTGTGTGTGTGTTTTTTTTATAACATTTTCTTGAAAATAACCAATAATATTTTCAAGAAAACTTTATTTAAAAAAAAAAAAAAAAGAAAACCATTGTCAGAAAATCTAGCATTTGACACTTTATTGTAAATGTGTGTGTGTTTTTTTTTTTTTAATAACGTTTTCTTGAAAATAACCAATAATATTTTCAAGAAAACTTTAAAACTTTATAGAAAAAAAAAAAAAAACATTGTCGGAAAATCTAGCATTTGACACTTTATTGTAAATGTGTGATTTTGTGTGTTTTTTTTTTTTTACATACCTGTTGCAGAGATTTTCCCAGAAACACACGGCAAAAAAATAAAAAATTGAACCTAGCTTGGTATAAATGTTTTATACCCATTAAATGTTTTTAAATGTATCTAATCACCGACTGCACCTCCTGCAACCCAATGTGTTTCAAGTGAATCCAGCCTGCTAGAAAAGAAACATATTTCACTAAGATCATTTCAGAGAATGATTCCATTGGAGTCTTTCTTTCCATTCACATCTAAGGGAGACTGGGGGGGTGCCCTATTTATTAGCTTGAAATTTGCCTCGGGCTCCGCACACAGGAATACGGCTTGCGGAGCAATCAGCAGAATTTCTAAGATCCTGCGTGGCTGCAGATTGAAAAGGAAATATCAGATTTAAAAAAGAACTCCATTCAATAATTAAAAATAGTCCTTTAAAAGATAAAAGTACAACACGCAGCTTTTTGTGGCAATACTCATCTTTACCCTAGGTTCACACCTAAGCGTTTTCCGCAGCGATTTGCAGAAACGCACTACAGTCCATTTAACATGATTTCCTATAGGACAGGTTCACATCTCTTTGCTTTCACCTGGTGCGTTTTTTTGGAACGAGTTAGGGGCTTTTTTTAACACAAAAAGTAGCGTTTTTGGTTCTATAGTCTTCAATGGAAATGCTGCAGTAAAGCATGTAGTGCGTTTTTGCTGCATTTCAAATCTGCCTAGCAACAAGAAAAACTTTAAAAAATGAAAATTATACTCAAAACGCATCAAAAGCACAGCAAAAATGCAAAACGCAGCACAAAACGCAATGCAGAAATGGGTCAAACGCAAACTGCATAGGTGTGAACCTAGGGTTAATCCGGAGCTGTCCTTCACAGGACTTCTTTTCTGCCACTAGATGTCCTCGATGGCCTACATTATTGATTCCACTTTCTTTGAGTCCAGACTGTATTGACCCCACCCCCAGCCTGTGACTGGAATGTGAAATGAGAAGCAGCTCTACGCTGAGCTCACCTCTCTGTCACTCTGATCTTTCCTCCTATCAGCATGTTCCTTGTCTGTCTATTAACTGATTGGCTCCTTGTGCTGCTTCTTTCTCTCCCACT